CCACAATCAATCCAGATATAAAAACAAAAATAAAAAGAGTTAACCCTGAATCCAAAAACAAAATAAGAACAGCTCAAAATATATCAAAAGCGCGCACACACGCACACCCACACCCACACCCACACATGAAAAAGAGACCCAGTACATTCATTATTCTGTCTTTATTGAGGTTTAATTTGTTGCCCAATAAATTCAAGAATGATCTGCACTACTAGTTACAGGTTCCATTTCCTGATCTGGCATGAATTAGTCCATTTCTTCTGGTAGGACAGGAACTGCTATTTTAATATTATGTTGTATGCCCCAGAAGTTCCCCAGGATAAAGTGCTATTTTTGTATGGGAGAAACTACTGCTTCTCTTTTGTTGCCATTCAGACCTAGATTGTGGGAGATCTGCTAAATAGCCAGCCACCACTCCTCCCCTGGGCAGGAAATTTCTGCCAGCACCTGGTATTTTCTTCTGAACTTGTATATTTTTCCTGGGTGGGTAAGGTAACCTGTGGGAGGTGGTTTGTAACTTTGTTTTTCACTTGCCTGTACTGCATGGATCTTAGGAGCAAGTTAGTCATCTGCCTTGGATACTGGCTTGGTCATTTTTCTAGCATTCTCTGGTGGAGCAGCAGTTTTGTGGTGTGGAGATTATCTTCTGGATCAGTGTGGAATTCCTCCGTTTTAGCGCTTTTCTGTTGTACTGAGGAAGTATCTGTTGCTCTCTGTGCTACTAAGTATTTGCAAAACTCTAAACCTGGCCCTGAAGATTTCTGTTTCCTTTTGCTTGTGTAGCCAGAGAGATATTTTCAGCTTAAACAAAATGATAAGGAAAGAAAAGAAAAAAAAGTAGGTAGGGTTCCTGCCCCTCAACTGCATCAAAACTCTACCCTTAGCCAAGGTTCCTGCCAACACCTAGATCTGTTTATTTGGAATTTTTTGTGTGTTAGATGGTTTAGTTATTTTTCCTCCTCTTTTTTTTTTTTTTTCTTCTTCTTCTTGGGACTTAGGTCCAAGGCACTATTTCTGAGCAGTTTTTGCAAAAGGTTAGCAGCCTGCCACAGCTATTCCCTGGCTTTTTGGTAGTTTTTTGGAGTTGAATCTGACTGGGCTGGCTTCAGACTATGAGCTTCAGATCTCAGCCCACTGAGTAGTAGGATTACAGGTATAAGCCACCCTTACCAGCTTTCCTACTCTTTAGAAATTTAATGTAATGGCTGCTGAAAGGAGTCTACCATGCAGTCCAAGCAGAAAAGAGTTTGCTTGGGAGAGCCAAACTTCTTGCCTGCATGTGTGTAGAGAGAGAATTTATGGCAGGGAGAGAGGTTATATAGGGAGAAGGGTGGGGAGGATGTATGGATGTAGCACATGAAGTGACCACAGAGCCTTTGGGACTTCCTGCACCAAGGTGTGCCAGTTACCTGGTTTACAGGTGGTGGGACTTCTAGAGAGGGCCATGTATGCATGGAGGGAGAACAATGGGAAGGGGTCTCCTGCTCCAGACCTAACATTCCTAACATTCTTTGGATAGTTACAAAGGGTACTGACTCTCTTGGGCTCCTTCCTGGTGGCAGGGGGCATCAACATTAGGGGTTGAAGGTAGAGATGTCAGCCCGACCAGGATAAGGCAGAAGTAACAGTTCCTTGGGTGGTACATGAGTGTTTGTGTCCTTGGATGTCTTAAGAGGCAAGGGCTGCATAATAAGAAAAAAACATTCTTGGAAAAGAAAAAAAATTTGGATGACTTGGAGATGACAAAAGGACCGAGGTAGAGAGGGATGCAGTCAGCTCGATGTTATTTTCCATTCTCTTCAGGAATGTGAGACATTATCTTGGTAGGTCTGAGAGAAGAGCAGACTTCCCTCCAAGTCAGTGTTGGGGCAGGAGCAGGAGCCTTTTTTTCCTCTTGACAGATGAAACCACTGTGGCTGTCCCTTGAGCTTAACTGTGGTCAGAAGGACCTGGTGAGGGCCTGTCCATTTATGATATAAATCAGATGGATTAAGGGTCTTGAGAAAGACTTGACCACCAGGCAAAATTAGGGAAGAAAGGAAAGGGCCTGATGAGGCTGGGGGAGACGTTTTGTCAGCATGTTGGCATAACATATATCTAAGGAAAGTTAGGACAGTGGAATCCTTTGTGTTATTAGTAGGGAAATTTCCTAGGAGGAAAGTCTTCCATACATTAATTCAAAGCAGCTAAGAAAGTAGGACTGCTGCAGAGGTGGCATGTAAGTGGATGACTATTAGAGGTAACAGTGCTGACCAGTTTCTAGAATTCCAAGGAAAGTTTGGCAATTGGTGTTTTAAGAAGTACATTTGCTCTTCCAACCTTTCCAGAAGATTGGGGTCTATAAGGAATGTGAAGATTCCACTGGACATTTAAGGTGGGTCACTTTGGAAATGAAGGTAGGTCTGTTGTCAGATTGAAGTTGTAGTGGAGAGGGGCATGAGACCACTCAGTCCGCAGTGAAAATGTAGAAGATTTTATTGAGTGAAAAGTGCTGATGTGCCAGGACTGCACTTGGAGTCCGGATCCCAGGAAATGGCCCCAACTGCCATCCCACATCAGCTTTTAAGCATTTTGGGATAAAGCGGAGAAAGGGGGAGGTTGGGTGTTGGTTTTAGCCAATGATTGTTACAAGAAATTCATACCTTAAGTTTAAATTTGCTGGAGGGAAGCAGGAGACTAGAACAAGGGTGGTGATGGTTCAGCTGAGCTGGTTCAGTGAGCTGGGCTCATATTGTTCAGAAAATAGCAGAAGCAGAGTTACAGAGTTACAGGGTTACAAAGTTACAATTACAGTTACTAGGTAAAATAGCTAGTTACCAGGGAAGTCTTATCCACACTACACTTATATTTATATCTTAAAATCATTCATTATCCATTTTACACAATCCAAGTCAAATATTATATTCCATCTTTACTTCCTCCACCATGTCAGAGTGACCTGGGTAGGCCAATGTGAGGAATAATTTTAGTAACACAGAAGTAACAGTGTCAACAGTCTCTGATGTTGTAAGATAGGTCTTGATCCATCCTGTAAAAGTATTTACCATTAAAAGGTATTTTTGTGACTTATATGAAGGTATGTGAGTGAAATCTATCTGCCCATCTTCCTCTGGGGTATGTCCTCAGACTTGGTGTATGGGAAAAGCAGCTGCTCAGAGGCTGCCCTGTAAGGAGGTAAGGGAACAAGTAGGGCAGGTTTGGATAATACTTTTTAGTCAGGCAGTTAGGCCAGGACAGTAAAGATTTAAATTGGTGGAAGAGAGGCTTTTTTGAATGTGCGGGGCCTGGTTAATCTGGGAAAGAAAGCTGTCTGCTTGGGTTTGGGGAAGAACAAGTCATTCCCCTGTGCTTCCTGGGAGGCTCCTCAGTAGATAAGTTCCTCAAGTTTCTGTGGGATGTAAGAGGATTTGATTGGAGGAAGTACTTAGGAGTAAAGGAGCCAGAAGTTGTGTCTGGGCTGCTAGCTTTGCCTCCTGGTCTGCCTGTGATAGTGTCCAGTCCCATCTGATGTCCCAGCAGTGAATGATGGCTGCCTGTTGAGGAAGGGAACTGGAGAATAAAAGTGCAACATTAGTAAGGGGGGGGGGGGGCGGCGGTCACTTTTGTAGACAAGAAGCCAGGCTCCAGATTGCTGCACATAAATGAAGAATATGATAGGCATATTTTGAATCTGTATAATGTTAATCCTTTGATCCCTGGCTAGGTTAAGGACCTAGGTAAGGCTATAAGTTCTGCCTTTTGTGAGGAAGGACTGTCCAGGTCAGCTGTTGTGCCCTAGAGGTGTCTGGGTCCAGCAAGGTAAAAGCAAAAAGGTACTGACAAGGGTGTAAGGGGATTGCAAATAACATGTCTTTTAGATCCAGTACTTAGAAGTGAGTGGTGCCAGTAGGTATATGTGAATATACCTAATAGGGTTGGGCACTACTGGATGAATAGGGAGTGCTGCAGTGTTAATAATGGTAATCCTGAATTAGGCAATAAGTTCCATCGGGCTTAGTGGAAAAATGGGGATGCTAAAGGGAGAGTTAGTAGGTCTGAGAAGTTGTTTAAGAAGGCAGAGGATGATGGGTTTTAAACTTTGCCTGTGACAGAGGGAAATGTGGGGTATTGGGGTGTGTTGGGGAAGGATCCTTAAGTTTGATGAGGACAGGAAAATGGTGCCAAGCAATAGTAGGTGTGGAAGTGTCCCAGATGAAAGGATTAACAATATCTGGAGGGAGGGGCAAAGGGTCCTCTTGGGAGGCCATAAATGGAGATTCATGAGACAAAAGTAGAATGGGGTGTTAGCAGTCTTGGACCATGGAATGAAAGTGAGACTTGGAATTTAGAAACTATATCCCTCCCTAGAAGGGGTGTGGGACCGTGGGCATCTATTCTACATTATACCAGCTCAGTAGTTGGAGAGCAGGTAGGAGGGTTGGTGACTTAGAGTAGAAGGGGTTCTTTAAGGTTGGGTAGAGCCAGTGTTGAGGCCTGAAGAAGCGCCTGTTTCAGAACTTAAATGGGGTGTCAGTTGGCTTTGTGGGGCCTGATCGCTGTTGTAGGGGGCCCTTTGCTACCTCATAAAGAAGTTTAGCCAAGGTATACAAACACAAAGAGAGCCACATAGAGAGAAACAACAAAACAACAGGGCCATAGGTAGAAGTCACTCATAATGGGTTGGGGGGTAGGTAATGCTGGGGAAGGCAGCAATGGTAAAGATGAGAGATCCATTGTGGACTTCCTTCAGCTATTTACGTCCATGGAAGGGCAGATAGGAGATATACTGACCCTCAGAAAAAGCAGAGGGGTTCCAGAGACTCCTTTCCCAGGTCTCAGCACCATATGTAAGAGACTTCCACATGGTCCAGGCAGAAAAGAGTATATTTGGGAGAGCCAAACTTCCAGCCTCCATGAGATGTAGTATGCAAAAGGAGAACTTAAGGTGGGGAAGAGAGGGAGAGGGTGGGGAGGTGGTGTGGCTGCAGCAGATGGGGAAGTGACCTCAGAGGATAAGGATATGACTTCAGAACCTGGGGGACCTCCCACCACCCCCAGGTGTGCCAGTTACCTGGGTTACAGTTGCTGGGTGGGGACTTCTAGAGATGATCACTTGTGCATGGAAGGGAGAATAAAGGGCTATAACAAAAAATACTTGATTTCTACTAGACTTTGCTGCTTATAATTTGCCCAAAAGCCTCATTTAAATTGACTATCCTTGCTGTAGTCCTGTACTTCCTGATGGTCAGAGGAAACTAAAATTGCTGTCAGCTACTTATCCTTCTCTGCCTTTGCCTTTCTTTCTAAATTGAATGTTTCAAAATATTTTATATTTCATGCTAAGTATGGTTTCTTATGTTGGCAGATCCCAAAGTTAATGGAACATCATCCTTTAACAGAAATCTGCAAAAAAAAAAAAAATGAGTGTAAGGGTAAAAAAGAGACTATGGGGACTGTTGGGAAGATTAGAAGTTTAGACTGAGAGGAAGGACACAATTTTATTATGTAATAGAAGGGAAGTAATTATATTGGAATAAAGCATATTGAGGAAAAAACAATAAGCACACATTGGTAGCTGTTGTTCAGTTTGTTGGTTTTAAACAAAATGTCACAGTTGTACTATTAAATGTTCCCCACAGAGCAGGTACCTATCTGGTAGCAATAACTTTGGGGAGGTTCTAGCAACTGATGCTGTCTAGGCAAACAGAGTATTCTCCACCCGCTCACTAAAGAATTAAGGTGGGGCTGGGAAGGTGACTCAGTGGTAGTGCACTTGCCTTGCATGCTCAAGGATCTGGGTTCGATTCCTCAGCACCACATAAGAAAAAAAACGGAAGTGGCTCTGTGGCTCAAGTGGTAGAGTGCTAGCCTTGAGCTGAAGAGCTCAGGGACAGCGCCCAGGCCCAGAATTCAGGCCCCATGACCGGACCCCCACCAAAAAAAAGAAGAAAGAATTAAGGTAAACAGTAAATTTAGCCCTTAAAGTAAAGAAGTAAGATTCTCCTTCCAAATAAAGGGGTCAGAGAAAGTCCAAAGGAGTCCTTTCCAAGGACAATTTTTATAACAGAGAGCTCCTCCCTCAGCTTCTGGCTTTACACAGATTGGTTGAAGGCTTGTACAGAGGCTGTTTTCACTAGTTGAATGGCTACCCAGTGCCCTATAGGGGAAAGTGTTTGAGCTGGAACTCATAGCCTTATGGAATGAAGCAGCATTTGATTAGAAGCCTAAGGCACTATGGTAACAAGCAACACCATGAAGAGACACATGTTATCTGCAACCATGTTATGGTGATACTTTTTATCATTTTTTCCCTTTTTTTTCTCATTCTCCCTTCTCATATGGAAGACTTTGCTGCTGAGAGGGCAGAGTGGGGGGTAAGGCAGTATGGGATCCTCCAGGAAGGGTCTTTTAAGGCAGATTTTATGTAGTTTGTGTGCTGTTCCCATGGACTACAGTAAAATTACAAATGAGAGTTTATATGAAATTTGATGGATTCTAATCTAGAAAAAAAAACAGGTTGAGAATGGAGGGGCCAAATATCAGAATTTTTATACTAGATAGGGGTTCCAGGAAAAGGTCATAGTCAAGACAAATTGATCCAGGTGTGTCTCCTGAAAGCCATCCTTGAGTAGCTTACTGTTTAAGTTGACAGGCCTTGTGGATTATTGCAGAAATTGAGTTTGGACTTGTTTTCTTCTGTCATCCCCAAAACAACAATGAGCATAATTAAAACTTTTTTTGTGAAATCTCAGCTGCTAGGGAATCAGTCTGTTCCTGCAGATTTATAAAGGTTTGGGCTAAGTCATTGGCTATCTCTAGCAACAAATTTTTGTGGACTAAAACAGAAGAAATAATTCCTTCTATTCCTCACTCTAGGCTTAATATTGCAAGTTATATAGCCCCATACGTGAAATGGGGCTTCTTGGCTTCTCCTGGTGCTATAAAATTAACAGGTATCAGAAAGGCAGATGCAAGTTGTCATCCCATTGGGAGCTAGACAAACAGGTGCATCAGGTAGCACCTGTTTGAAGTATTTTTCTTAATCTCTTTGCTTTAGTTAGTTTTGAGTGGGCAAGCACACATGACTGCACTTGGAACTTCGGAGCATACCCTCTTATCTGAACAGCTTTTTTTCAGCAGTATGGTGTGGTCCCTTCTCACTAGAATATGCCTGGTTCCAATAGGTCTCTCGTTGCTGGTATAATTTCCCAATTAGTGTTTCAATTCATTGCTGTGATGAAACACATCCCAGTTTTTGTGAATCCCATTAGGTTTCATATTAGGTTTCAGATGGAAGGTGGACACTATTGAGAATTGGATTAGATGAGCATCTTTCTCAACATTTTCCTTGTTCCAGCTGTTCAAGCACATACAGCCCACTGTATCCATATTGTAGGGAGATCCAGCTATTGCTAGAGTTTGTGACAGACCTCTTTAATGTTTATTTGAATAGTGATAGAATTGGTGAGATGTTGAGAAAATTGGTGAGATGTTGGGCTACTTTGGAAATGTGTATGACAAAGAGACTTTGGAGGCTAAGGGCAGAAAGTTATATGTTAAAAGATATAATTAAAGGCTTATATGTTAAAAGATTTGACACCTTTGATAGTCAGAAATTCAATCCTCTGAGTTCAATGCCAATTTACTAAGAGTGAGATTTGGGTCTCAGAAAAGAGGATATTAATGTTTATTTCTCCAGGGAGGCTGCATGGCTTATTATTTCAGAAATAAAGCCCAGTCCTAGTGGATGGTAGGAGAAGGATATTTCTTATAGAATAGCCTAGCATAGCTGGGTGCCAATGGCTCATGCCTGTAATCCTAGCTATTCCAGAGGCTGAAATCTGAGGATTAGGGTTCGAAGTCTGCCTGGGCAGTAAAGTCCCTGAGACTCTTACCTCCAATAAACTACTCAAACAAGTCAGAAGTGGTACTGGTGCTCAAGTGGCAGAGCACACACCTTGAGCAAAAGGCTGTCAGGGACAGCCAGAGTTGAAGCCCCAGGACCAGCAAAACGAACAAACAAACAAAAATAGCCAAAAATAGCCTAATAGTGGGTATACTTCTATGCCCATAAGAAATAATGAAATCTATTTCTTATGAGTTGAATTTAAAAGAAATACCAATCCTGATGGATTCTGCATATAAACTGATGGTTTGAATGGTATCTCCTTTGTACAGATACTTAAAGATAATTTTTAAAATGCCATTTCAGGGGGGTAAATGGAGACTCTATTTCAAAATAGCACTGTTTCCCAAGAGGTTAGTTTTTTGTGGAAATGTTATTTTATTTTACTTACCTAATTTTTAATCTTCAAATGTTTACACAACAGAATTACAGTTTAACATACCATTTTGTGGGTTAGTCATCTAGATCAGAATAACCCTTATTTTTTTACATGCAGATACTAGCCTCTAGAATTGAATTCCTTGCTCTTTCAAATGTTCTTTCACTCCCAAGGCCAGTAAAAGTAAGAATGTTTTCTGAAAAATTTAAAGACAACCCTGAATTCTTTCATGTAGAGAATGGTGGAGAGAGAGAAAGCAGAGGAAAACTACATTCTTAAAACTTATGGAACTAACAGTGTTTTGGCTAGTATTGAGCCATACTTGCAATGGAGACCATATTTGGCTGTGTGTCCCTGTTGCATTATCTCCCCTGGGTGCTCCTTGTTTCCCATGTAAGAGAACAGGATTTTTAGGTACTCTAGGATTTGAAGATCAGGAGCTTTAAGGATATATGCCTAGTCTTGTTTCACTTCACTTAATGAAGCAAAAAGTTTAAACTAAGCCATTTCCATCTTGAGTATGAATACCAAAAGATGAAGTTTTTTTATGCAAGTAAACACATTACTTTCTGCCAGTATACCAAGATGCTGTTTCTGACATGGTTTGCTCAGGATAGATTAGTATAGTTCAGAAGTAATTCAATTTAAAAATTGCCATTGCCAAAAAAATGGAAAAACAAAGTCATTTGTTGGTGATATAAACCTCATCCCTTTCCTAAAATGTCAGGAAGAGAGAGACTAAAAAATTATTGATCAGAACCTGCTCAAAGTATCCTGTAATCTTATGTTATTTCAGAGTGACTTTTAATGCTGTGCTAGATGGAAAGAGGCTTCAACTTTATGTAGATAAAGGGTAAAGGTTGGAGAATTGGGAAAGCACATTGCCTATATATCATGCAGGATCTCATTTGATGAGGAACGAGTTTGTAAACAAAATACGTTAGTTACAGAAGGAAGAAAAGGAAATCTAAGATCACATCGATTACTCTTATGTAAGATGGACTGTAGAATTACATTGGACTGACAAATTATTCAAGGAGCAAGAGAACTAACTAGGTTCTTAAATGTTGGCTCTGGGAAGATCTGAGACCATAAATTCTCTAAAATGGTGCTCACTCTGCAGGGATATATAAAGACCCTCACAGAAACTGAGATTAGAACAAAATGATAGCGTCTCAGAGGATAAGACTTAATATATCCTAGTAATGTGAACCAGTTAGTACATAAAGTATGAAGAGAAGTATAGTACTGTATTCTTAAATAGCCTGCCCAATTGATGAGAACAGAAAAAGGGGCAAATAGTTAAAGTACTCTGAAGTACAGATGATGTAAACAGGGTAATGAATGATCCTCTTGAAATCTGAGTTCTTTGGATCTTTGCAATTCAAGAGGTTTTTGTGATCCCTGGAGGTGGTTCAAAGTAGCCTGAGCAATTATAATAAAAAATAGCAATAGATTACCAACATGGACAAAGAAAGCCTCAAAATAAAGCTCTGAGATTAATCAAACTTCTCCTCAAGAGAAAACTTAAATATAAACTATGAATTAAACTATGAATTACTGAGGCTCTCAACTAACCACACAATGAGAGTCCCATCACCATAGGACTAATGATAGCAGTAAGCTAGAAAATAACATATTACCCTTGTTGTGAATACCAAAAATTGGAGATAACTTAAAATGGATAAATCTAGCTCATGCATTTAAGAACCCAGTAAATTAGCCATACTGGCACTGACACAGGAAAAGGTAAATGAAAATGTAAACCTTATTTGAAATAGCAATAATAAATGAGATTTATAAAAGAGCCTTTC